TTTATTTCTCCTGCATGCACCATTCACAAACCCTTCATGCCAAGAATACAACAACAACAATTTATTTCTCCTGCCTGCACCATTCACAAACCCTTCATGCCAAGAATACAACAATTTATTTTTCCTGCATGCACCATTCACAAACCTTTCATGCCAAGACTACAACAACAACAATTTATTTCTCCTGCATGCACCATTCACAAACCCTTCATGCCAAGAATACAACAACAACAATTATTTCTCCTGCATGCACCATTCACAAACCCTTCATGCCAAGAATACAACAACAATTTATTTCTCCTGCATGCACCATTCACAAACCCTTCATGCCAAGACTACAACAACAACAATTTATTTCTCCTGCATGCACCATTCACAAACCCTTCATGCCAAGAATACAACAACAACAATTTATTTCTCCTGCATGCACCATTCACAAACCCTTCATGCCAAGAATACAACAACAACAATTTATTTCTCATGCATGCACCATTCACAAACCCTTCATGCCAAGAATACAACAACAACAATTTATTTCTCCTGCGTGCACCATTCATGAACTCTATATATTGAAGCGATGCAGCAGAGAAGTAGAAGGGAAGAAGTGGGAAAGCCAAGAGAAGAAGGTATGCAGGGGCCCCTTCAAGGAAGTGTTGCTTGACAAATTCCAGAAGAGGGGGTGGCAGATGGAGAGTCCAGCTGGCGCCGTTGTCGTGAAGGAAGCAGCCGAGTTAGCGGCCGGCCTGCCGGGGGTTTGTGCACCGAGAAGACCTGGCAGTCTGGGGAGAGAAGTCTGTCTGGTGACAACGGGACCTGCAGCGAGGAAAACGGCGGTGACAACAGACGCAGCAGGTGGGCTCCGGACGTGTGGCCGTATGGACTGACCGGGAAGATGGTAGCGGAGGAGGATCCCTCTAGTGGCGGACATTGAAGGCAAGTCAATCTCCGATGTATAGTTATTAATATCCCTTTTAAAGATCTGGTAATAAATCCATAGTACTAAGCTGTATCCAAAACTAACCCACATTGTTCTCTTAGAAACCTTGAACGCAAAAATCGACGGCTGAGAAGAGTCATAACAATATATATACGCCAAGAAGGATACAACTGCATGAGTGCCAACCTTTATATGGGAGATACACAAGAGATTAAAAAAGAACTAACAAATAAAAATGAGGCACTCCATGGTTAACAAAATAGGTTTATTTACATAATTCGTCAAAAAAAAAATTAAACATAAGGCATTTTTAATAACAAGAGGAAACAAATACAAATATATATATATATAGGTCTATTTAAAAAATATAATATAATATTAAGTGGAAATATTAAGTTCTTCTTTTATTTTAAAAGTTTTATGGATATCCTTTCCTTAAAAACAAAAACAAAAATGCACACAATTTTGAAACCCCCTCTAATAGAGAGAGATATAACATGTATATATTTGGGTAAAGATAAAAGAAATAATTCCCCACATATAGATATAGATAGCCATGTTGGATGTAAAGGGGTGGAAAATGAAAACAAAAGGCACTGGAATGTGGTAGGCAGGCAGGCACAAGACTCCTCTCTGTAACACCAAGAGGTCATCATTGGCTAGCTGTTCATTCAGAGATAACAACAAGGGCATTAATTTTTTAAATACACCTATCCCCCGATTTACACGGTAAATACATTCCTGAGAAAAACGTGTAAATCGGGGATATAGGTGTACACAGAAATAAAAATAAAATGCATTGACAGGTTAAAATATGTAGTGTCAGCACATAAGCTCGGGATTCCTCGTGAGATGTGTACAAAGCGCATGTGTTCAATCACAGTAGCATTTAGTATAGTGCGATAAAAAAAAAACTTATTTGAAAAACTGTGTAAAAGCGAAAATGTGTAAAACAAGTACCGTGTAAATCGGGGGATAGGTGCATATTGAAAATTTTTCAAATATGTATAGTCTCTCAATTTCCATTATCAAATTTGCTGCTAATCCACACAAGATAATCTCTGAGAAGTCAATCACTGGTCAACATGTGTTGGAAATCAGAATCCAATCATGGGCTTGTGGATGAAGAGCTAAGCTCCTAACATTTCATTATCCGAATAAATAGTGTGTAAAAAAACTATTTATGTTTACACAAGGCACAATTTGGATTATAGATTATAAGTATATGCAAACAAACTATTTATTTATTTGGTCTTATTACCATAACTTCCAACACTTCATAATCTATAATCCAAATTGTGCCTTTTTATAGACTTCAATGGACCTAAGAAGTTATTCTTCCTATGAACAGAAGAAAAGGAATTCCACACACTTTTCATTTATTTGGATTTGGTCGTATTAACTTGTGTTTAGATAACATATAAAATAAATAAAATTAAATATACAAAATTTAAAAGGAAATTTGGAAATTTGTCCGTTCTTGGCCAACCTGACAACCCAGAAGTCTGAAAATTGGTCAGCTAACATTGTCATCAGGTTTGAACATGTGTACCAAATTTCATATTTCTAGGTGCCCTATAAGTATATTAAAAATTGATTACAAGATTTGGCGACAGACATCCAGACAGACAGATAGGCAAGTTAAATAAAAGCTTTTAAAAATAGCAACTCTCCAGTAAGAGGACACCTCTCTGTTTACAGACACTTTGGACACTGCAACTAGGTATCTGTGGAGGTTCTACTGTACTTGTGAAAGAAATAAAAGTATTGACTTGTAGATGATATGCATCGGTGTAAAACCCATACTTGTTTGATATGGTATAGTTGATATTTTACTAGGATAGAGAAGTCCTACCACAGCTCCTCCTAGTGAGTAGACCAGTAATGTATTGGCAGCACTTGAGCAAGGCTGATTCATCCAATGAAGGCAGGAACTCGCACAAAAGAAAGCCTCTGGTCCTATCAGTTCCTCATCAAGGCTTACCACCTAGAGTACATGGGAAACTTACCCTCCTTATCAAAAGTCCAGAGGGTTGTCATCCACGTAGAGTTCAAGGCCCTTGGCATCCACCTCTATGGAATGGACTGTTAGGGACTTGTCCTGAATAAACCACAGATATTTTATGATGCGATGCACTTGCGCGCCATATGTTATCAAAATTCGAAACTATTTTAAAGGCGTAAGATTCTTTTTGAAATTATTTATAAATGTATGTAATTCTACTGTCCTCAAAGCTTATGTCCATAGTTCTTCTAAAATATCCATTCCAAGAGTCTACCAACAGTATCACTATAAAAAGGAAGATCGAAAAAATGCAATATAACAGCGGTATGGTAGATTAAACTGGAGAAACCGCTGGGAGGGTTCACCACTGATGAGCCAGGCCCTCCCTTTAATTTTTCCATTGCAGTAAGGGCAGTAGAAATTGTTTAATTTCAAAAAGAATCTTACGCCTTTAAAACAGATTTTTCAATTAGATTCATTATTCCTAAAATGCTATCCACAAAATGCAAGAGCAGAGAGGCCATTATATTTTCAGAATATTAAAACATAAGGTATGGGGTAAAACACACACACAGCTACATTGTAATTATAAAAGTGTAAATTTATGTGAAGCTGGTAAATAGCTCATGAATGAAATCCCATCCTTCTTCACATGACTACTTCCATCTGCCTTAGTGACTGGAGGCCAAAAATCTAAAGCGCTACATAGCTGTACAAAATAAGTTGGGAATTTAGAACAGGCCATCTCAAGCCATTGAAGATAGAAAATAACAACAAAATCTACCCCACTTGCCCAAAATGTAGCTTGGCACCTGCAGCTCCAGAACACATTTTCGCTTGCATTAGATGCACTAAACAGGACCTTTGGGAGAGGCCGCTGCTCATCATAAAACAGCTCGAGGAGCATGAACTCATGGAATTCGTGTAATCTTTACACAAAGGGATAAGAAACAACAACAACAAGTTGGGAATTCTAAAAAAAGTCTGTGCATTTGATCATTTTTATTCTATTCTTTCATCCAAATTTATTACTACTACACTTAATAAAAACCTGTCATTTATTGAGAAACCATTTTGAAGCATTAGGACCAATTTTCTTGAGGGACAGTATCCAAGTCCTCTAAGTATGCCCTCATAACCTGTTTCTGAAGGGGCTCAAATTATATATACTGTATATACAACTATCTTTTGAACTGGGAAAGAGAGGGAAGGAAATTTTGAGGAAATTGCTTTTGTATGTTTGTCTTTTTTCTCCTTGACCAATTTGTTGTTGTTGTTGTTTCTTATCCCCTTGTGTAAAGATTACACGAATTCCATGAGTTCATGCTCCTCGAGCTATTTTATGATGAGCAGCGGCCTCTCCCAAAGGTCCTGTTTAGTACATCTAATGCAAGCCAAAATGTGTTCTGGAGCTGCAGGTGCCAAGCTTCATTTTGGGCAAGTGGGAAAAATTTTGTTATTATTTTCTATCTTCAATGGCTTGAGATGGCCTGTTCTAAATCTTGTTAGTGTTGTTTGATGCTGTCTATTTCTGATGTTCAGAGCTCCTCCTGGGTTCACTCCACTGTACCAACTGTGCTTAGGTTCCTTGACCAATTTTCTTTGGATAATTGTGTAAAATAAATGAATTGTATAAGCTTGTTTATAGCACATTTGTTATGATGTAAAGAAATGTATTGATGCAAATATCCCTCAGTTTGGGATATCTGGTTTTAGGATGTTAATAAAGTAAAAGGTACACTCTTTTTTATATATATTCAATAGATCACCTTTTGACTCTTTTTTTTTTTTTTTTTGTGTATGTACAACTTTTTGAACATGCTTTTTTTTTGTTGCTTATCCCTAGTACACGTGGTACAGGCAATGATAATCATGTCGGGTAGTTAGCGACTGCTTTTTACTGTAAGCGCACCACATGTCTACACATGTGAAAGCAGTTCGACTTTGCACTTACAAATGTGCCAGAGCCCCGTTTGGTTACTTGCACTCGCTGGTGAGGTTGGACTTTTGCAAGAATCGGGGGGCCATTGGAGCATTTTTTTTTTAAACAGAAAAAAGTGTCCAATGCGGGGATCGAACCCGGGTCGTAGTGGTCGTAAACCAAACGGTTTAACCAGCTAGAGTCAAACAAGCTAGAAAAAACCTTCTCAAGAACAATATCCCCAAGGACCTGAGAATCCGGACCCAACAACATCAATATAAATTATAATTGTAAATGAACCCCTGTACATAACCACCCCCCTCAGCAGTATATTGTAAATATGATGACATAGGTTGCTCTTTTTGAGCAGCACCTAATAAAGTTATTTGGAACTTGCTGATATGAGAGGGATTCCAAAAAATGTTGGATACATGCAAACTATGTGTAAATATTACACAAAATAATTGTTCTATCAAAGAGAGTCATGCTGTAAATGAGAGGGCAGTGGGTGATGTGTAGCATTGAGCTTGATGCCATGGAAACAATCATTAAAAGGTTGTGTTTTTGAAACTATTATTTATTAGGATTCTAAAAAGTATGAATTCTGAATAATATTATCAAATTCTAGGTGAAACATTTCCTGGTATTGTTTTTTTTCTTATGAGCAACATTTTAAATTATTTCCAGATTTTAAAATGGGGGTTGGTGGAAGGATGGTCCAAACTTGGTTTTTCAGCCGCTACGATCCAGGATCAAATCCCGCATTGGGCACTTTTTTCTAATTAAAAAAAATGCTCCAATGGCCCCCAATTCTTGAAAAAGTCCAGCCCCACCAGCGAGTGCAAGTAACCAAACAGGGCTCTGGCACATTTGTAAGTGCAAAAGTCAAACTGCTTTTCAAATGTGTAGACATGTGGTGCACTTACAGTAAAAGCAGTCGCTAACTACCCACCATGATTATAATGGCCTGTACCACGTGTACTAAGGATAATAATAATTTAAAAAAAAAAGACTTTAAAATGGAAACTAAACCCATCTTCTCACTAACCTGGTAATTCTTCAACTTTATTCAATGAAGAAACTGTTCAGAAAAACCATAAGATATTCCTACAACTTATGTCAACTTGCTGGCAGCAGTTCATCCAGTGGGAATATCATTGAGAAGATAGAAAATAACAACAAAATCTACTCCACTTGCCCAAAATGTAGCTTGTCACCTGCAGCTCCAGAACACATTTTGGCTTGCATTAGATGCACTAAACAGGACCTTTGGGAGAGGCCGCTGCTCATCATAAAACAGCTCGAGGAGCATGAACTCATGGAATTCGTGTAATCTTTACACAAGGGGATAAGAAACAACAACAACACCATTTTAAAAGATCATCTGAAGGTCAACAAGTGATATTCCATCAGGGTAAATAAAATTGGCGACTATTGACAAAATCAGTTAGTGACTTCCTCACAGGTGATTATATTCCTCTGACCTTCAAACAAAGAATCAATCCAGGTTTTGGAGCTTTAGAGATGGGCCTCCACCAACAAAGGTAACAAAGTACTGAAAAGAAAATGACAGACAAATTTTCTGCAAGATATAAAAAAAATTGCTCTTGAAATATAACTTTTTTTTTTTGCTTATCCCTAGTACACGTGGTACAAGCCATGATAATCATGGTGGGTAGTTAGCGACTGCTTTTTACTGTAAGCGCACCACATGTCTACACATGTGAAAGCAGTTCGACTTTGCACTTACAAATGTGCCAGAGCCCCGTTTGGTTATTTGCACTCGCTGGTGGGGTTGGACTTTTGCAAGAATTGGGGGGCCATTGGAGCATTTTTTTTTTTTTTAAACAGAAAAAAGTGTCCAATGCGGGAATCAAACCGGGTCGTAATGGTCGAAAACCAAATGGTTTAACCAGCCTTCCACCGACCCCCTAAAAGATCATCTGAAGGTCAACAAGTGATATTCCAAGTGAGTCCTTCATCAGGGCAAATAAAATTGGCGACAATTGACAAAATGAGTTAGTGACTTCCTCACAGGTGATTATATTGCTCTGACCTTCAAACAAAGAATCAATCCAGGGTTTGGAGCTTTAGAGATGGGCCTCCACAAACAAAGGTAACAAAGTACTGAAAAGCTTGCTCTTGAAATAGAAGAACTTTAAATACTGATATGGTACAATTTGGATTATCTTGTTACCTTGTGTTTTTCAAACTGTAAATACTAATTAGCATACAAGTGGAAATGTTCCCAAGTGCTAAAAACACCCAAGGTCAGGAAATCTTTATCATGGCGGTTGGTTATCCTCAACAGCAGAGACATTAGTTCTTATGCACAAAAATACAAAATTTCTTGGGCCATCCACCATATACATTTGACCAGATACATTTTTTTTTTTTTACCAATATTTAAAAATACAGTAAAACCCCTCTAGAGTGAACCCCAATGGGACAAAACTTTTGGTGCACTATAGCCACGGTTTGGTTATTCTTTTACTTTTCAAAAGAGATAATAATCAGAAGGAGAAATGTCTGGGCTATATGGCGGGTGGGGTAAGACTTCCCATTTGAGCGTTTCTAAGTACATTTTAACGGGTGCTGCAGCATGTGGCCGAACATTATAATGTTGCAAAATAACTTTGTCGTGTCTATTGGCGTATTGCAGCCATTTTTCTCGCAATGCTCGGCTCAAACGCATCAATTGTCTTCAATAGACCTCCCCTGTGATCCTTTCGTTCGGTTGTAGCAGTTCATAATATACCATTCCTAGCTGGTCCTACCAAATACACAGAATAATCTTCTAGCCCTGAATATTCACCGTCGATGATGAGGTACAGCCAGGGTATACATACATTGCCTGACATTTTGGATTATCGTAATGGCCCACTTTTTATCATCAGTAACAATTCAATAAAAAAAAAAAAACTTTTTTTTACATTGGAGCAGTTGTTCACACATGAAAAAAAACGGCGTTTGATGTCTCTTGGCTTCAGTTCATACGGCACCCCAATTTCCTACCTTTTGGATTATTCCCATTTTCTTTTAAGCGATGAAAAATGGCTGGTTGAGCGAATCCAAGTGTTTTTGAGAGTTCCTTTTGTGTTTGTGTTGGATCTTCATTAAACCTTGCCTATAATTCTTCATCTTCAAACTTTGGTAGTGCTCCAGGTCTTTCTTCTTCTTCCAAATCAAAATTGCCATTTTTAAACCGTGCAAATCCCTTCTGACACCTTCTTTCAGCTAGAGCATGGTCACCATAAACTTCCATTAAAATATGATGACTCTCAGCAGCTTTTTTCTTCATATTGAAGTAAAACTCCTTGCAAAAACACATTCTTTCGTACAAAAGTTGACATTTTAGGAGCAAACAGAAACTAGGTTGTTTACACTTCAGAGAAATGACTGTTACTAAAAAAGGAAGCCTTATGATGACGGTTCAAAATAATGGTGTTGCCAGATGAAACAGTGGAAAAATAAACTAGTAGTGCCATCTTTATCAAAACCACACCAACTTATTTATACTCCCAATACAAGAAGTCCACAGCCAACTCACATGGGCTTCCACAGCAGAACGGAGGGCAGGAAGACTATCAGGGTCATTAAGTAACACGGCTAGGAACCCTCCGCCCCCGGCCCCTGGGAACAGCTGGGCATGAGCAAAGGGCTCCAGGATCTTCATCAAGGCATCCAAGTGGGCAGGCTGATAGCCCCTGGTGAGCTTGGCTTTGGTGTCCCTATATCTGGCCAGGTAGTGGCCCAGCTCAGCCAGGTTCCCTGTGAGCACATCACATGATTGGTTCTCTTTCCTTCTTACACATTAAAGAAACAGATATGAACAAGTTTTAAAAATCATCATTAAATTAGGGCCATATATCGATGAAAATGAAAAATGGGTTCACCCACTGATCAATTTTTCTTCATTTGCGGATAAGGGCTATTGAAATAAAATTTAAAATATATAAATTTTAGAAAAGAAGTAGAGAGTTAAAAATATATATATTTATAATTTTCATAGACAATTTTGGTATTTCAGTCCTTAAATACTCACATTTCTTTGTCAAATGTGGGGCTCTAGTATACAAGGTATTTATCAAAAAGTCCGGGGATTTAGTCAAAAAATATTTTCTGAAAAATAAAAATTATCATCATAATCATGAGACCTCCTTCTACTAGAAAATATTTATATCTTTTCGATATCTCAAATAATAATAATTTTATAAGCATTTATAAGCATTATAAGCATTTTTTAAAGAAAAGAAACAAAGGCCTGCGTTTTTTACAATGGATCTTGGAGGAAGGGGGAAAGGAAGAAATGTATAATGCCTGCGAAGAATGGCTATTGAACATCCATGAAGATCCAAACTTCCTCACAAAGGTGATTACTGGCGATGAAACTTGGGTCTATGGGTATGACCCAGAGACCAAACGACAATCGAGCCAGTGGCTACCGAAAAATGCCCCAAACCGAAAAATGCAAGAATGTCTAAGTGAAAATCAAAGGTTCTCTTGGTGACTTTTTTCAATCACCAAGGCATTGTGCATTATGAATTCCTCCTACAAGGGCAAACAATTAATCACACGTGTATCAAGCGATTTTACGCTGTTTTAGGAGAATCAATACGGAAGAAACGACCAGAAAAGTGGATCTCAGGCAAATGGATACTTCATCATGATAACGCCCCAGCACACAGAGCTCTTTCCGTGGGTGCTTTTGACTAAATATAGCATGTTGACAATGCCTCACCCCCCGTACTCACCTGATTTAGCACCAAATGACTTCTTTCTCTTTCCTAAAATGAAGTCAGTTCTAATAGGACATAGATTTGATACCGTTAATGCCATAAAGGAAAAATCGCTGAGCGTTTTGAGGGGCATTACTTCTGATGAATTTTCTGGGTGCTTTCCGAACTGGGAAAAAGGATGAAACACTGTATAGATTCCCTCAGACAGTATTTTGAGGAATATTATCCATTTTTTGTATATATTCATCTAATACATCTTTTATGGCCCAATTCCCCGAATTTTATGTTCATACCTTGTATATATATTCAGAATGCTGACAGCTCTATAAAATGTTTTGACCTAATTTCAACATCAAACATCTTTGTGCAACTAGATTGTTACCTAGCCCTTAACATGTTTACCAATAGTATCCAACCAGAATGATCAATAAACATCCACCGTAATTATTTCTATAAACTAAATCATATTCAAC